AAATTAATTTAGCTTTGCAGGATTTACCGCGCACCAATTCTCCGCCACGCGAGTCGTGCAATTTCGAGCATGAGAATCTCGCTCTCGCCCGCTCGCTCTCTCCCTCTTTGAAATGCCGGCACGCTGCGTGAATTGTGTTTGTTTATACTCATTCATGTGCGCTTATGCGTGTTCATGTATATATATATATCTCACATATCGAACGTTTCTGCAGAGTTCGTAAATATTTTGCGTGGTTCTGCTCACAGCCCGGTCAGAGCGGCGGGGGACCTCTTTTTCCCTTTTTCCAAACGCTTTTTGCGCGCGATCGGAACAATTAGGACAGAACTGCGAAATCGACAGTTTTTTAATCGCCGGCATTTCAATTTTCCACTCGAGTTTCTCCCTTCGGCTCGATTTCAGTCAGCCTTCAGTTTCCAATCGGCGTGGAAATTGACGTGCACGCCCCCGACCGTTATCACGCACTCGTTGTGAAAGCGCTCTAACAAAAATGCCGCTGAACCAAACCGCGCGGTCTTATTATCCGCGCCACACCGCGCGGCCCGCGCGCGGTGCTACGTCGCACGACGATAAGACCAGATCGATAGTATCAGACTAATTTATACCGGTGTATTTCCGCGCCGAGCGGACTCGATAGGTATACTTTTGGTTGATCTATTTTCCGCCGGGATCTCCTTCCGGACGGTCTATTTCCGAATCCTGCGCAGATACGGACCGGCTAATCTTTACGCCAACTTCTACTCACCGCGCGCGCAGGAAATTCCACAACGAGTTTCTCGCGACTCGCTCGAGAGTGCCTTCGCGCGCGATGCTCCACCGAGACCGTTTTCCCATTTCCCTCGCGTTTCCGGGTTTCACACCCGGCCCGGTTTTTCCAGCCTCGACACGCTCTCTGTGTATACGCGTGCGTTTTGTGCGTTTGTGCCATATCGCACAAACTCCGTAATATTATTACCGCCTTCTCGCCATCGCACGACATCATAAGCCAATAAAGTTCTCTTTCTCCCCCCTCCCCCCCCTCTCTCTCTGGGTTATACCTGTGCAACGTTTACCAGACACAAAACAGACGTACGCACCTACACACGCCAACACACGGTGTGTGCTGCCTTCCTTATCTTGATTGCGCAATGTTGATCGCATTCCACTTCCCTTGTTTCGCGCCGACGACCGTTTTTCGCGCTTCCGACGCCCGTTCATTTCTGCGAACGATAAGAACTTGCATCGGCGATAAAGGGACTCGCGCTTTAGCAAGTTTGCGTGCTTTTTTGTCTCCCTCCCTCTCCCTCTCTCTCTCTCTCTCTCTTCCTACCTTTCTCTCTTGGCGGTAGCCGAGCGCACGGTCGCAAGAGACGCTAATAAACGTACCTTCTTTGTCGCCGGTTGCTCGTTAAACTTCCTTACAAAATCCATTCGTCTACGCGCCGCCTAATACACACACACACACACACGCGCGCGCGCGCGCGTACACACTCTGTCTCTTGCACATAACAAACGGAGTCACGACGCAGCGGCAAACGCCATTTATCAATGCAATAAAAACACCGCTAATTACAGTGCATTAATCCGCCTCGTATTAAATGAGATTGTAATTAATACTCGTTCATCCGCACATGTATGCAAAACCAGCGGATATCCTATCAGGAAAAGAGTAGCGCGCGAGTTGCGCGGCGACAGCACGAAATTGACAGATCGATATCGCGCGCGCGCGCTCAACATCTCTCTCCTGCTTCGACGGAGCAGATCAGCGAGTTTCTTCACGATTCACTCACGTGGAGCCGCACGGCGCAAACTTTGCCTCGTCACCGAGATATTTTCGCGTCCGCATGACGCAACGGCCCCCGACAATGCCGCAAGGTAAATTACGTGCCGGTGAATCGTCGAACGAGACGGGATCCCGGGGGGAGGGAGGGGAAGCGCTTTACATGCAGCATCGAGGAAGTCCGGATTAATAAAAAAAGAACTATATTTTTTTCCCTCGGTAGTGCGAAGCGAGTCAACTTTGCGGAGGTACGTATTCCGCGGGAATTTTCCAATCGGAGAGATCCGCAGTAAACAAGGGGGTTTTCCTTTTTCTTTATTTCGCGCAAATAATAGACGGCGCACCTGCGCACGCGCCTGCGAGCCGGCGGATATTTTTCGTTTGCGCACGTGTGTGCGCGGCTCTTAAACGCGTTAATTTGTTTTCTCGGCGGGATAATTCTACGATGGCGGACGCGACGTCCTCGCGCGCGCGCGCGCGCGTGCCGGTCGATACGCCCCGGAATTGGGAAATAATTGGAAAATTATAGTGATTCAACGTAAACACGCCTAATACGGAGACAAACAGGTAAACAGGTCACTCTGTCGCCGGTAATTCGAACTCTCACGCGCGCTTGTATACGCGCGAAGTATACACCGCGCATCCGCGAGGTGGTCATTATGACGCCATCTCGGTAGATCGAATTATGTATCATCAATTGCCCGGCTCTCCGTTTCATTGGTATAGCAGGTAGAAGAAAACGACATTCGCACGCGCCGCGTCCTTCATGGAATCAATTGTCGCGTGTCGATGGGTGGACAGGTCGGCCGAAGGTTTCTGTTACAGAACGCGTTATTCCTCTGCAACCGCGGAGGCGAATTCTTTTTTTCTTTTTAACGGACAGTTTCCTCTCTTCTTCTGTGTACAATGTTGCCTCAAAAATCAATATTTATCTTGGCCGATGTGTTCTTAATTTCTGGTATATTCCGATACCTTTGCTCGTGCAGCAAATGTCGAGCGACGAGTTACGAGTTCGTGCGCGCGCACGCGCGAATGTCGGTGGACTCTGAGAAGAGCGAAATTAAAACAGAAAGCTCGCGCCAAATAGAAGAAAAAAATAGAAAAAGAAAACTACACAAAATAGAGGAGAAACGACGCGCCGGCATGTTTCGCGTAGGTTAACCACGAATAGAGAGGCCCTCTTCTTTTTTACCAAAGTTATGGGGGTGATTCCATATTGTGATGTTTTTTATCGTAACAGCGTTCGCAAAGCAAATTGTTTGCTTTTAAAACAAGCCGCAAAAATAGCCCGGCCGACGGCATGTTTGCACACAAAACGTGATCGTTCAACGATCCGTAATCGAATATCGGCCTCGGCTATTCTGCGAAACGACCATTAGAGACACGTCATGCATGAAGCACACCTACGTGCGGCGCAAGAAGTTGCGGAACGAAGCCGAGGCGTGTTCGATTTGTCTACACAACTCGCAGGAAGTCTCGCTCTCGCTCTCTCTCTCTCTCTCTCTCTCTCTCTCTCTCTCTCTCTCTCTCGCGAGGAAGTACACAAGGTGTTGCGCGATGCATCCGGCAAATTTCGATTTGCATTACATGCAAATTTCGTCGAGCATGAGGAGGACGTTAGTCGGCAACTTCGCAATTTAATTAGCGTCGACATGTTTCAGCGATCGCCTCAAGATATTCAGATTCCGTGCGCGCCGTTGCAACTTTATTCCTTTTCTTTTTCAATCCCTCGTTAACTTCAAAACCTGCTACCGGCAGATGCGCAACACTTCGGCCGACGGACGGTAGACATTTTGACTTTCGCGAGCGAAATACCGAATATGAAACGCCTTGTACAGCAGCACGATCGAGATTGATTCGTCGATACCCTCTCGCGCGTGACTATCAACGCGACGGAGACATCAAAATATACAATCGCCTCAGTGATATTGTTTCTCTGACACGTTCGCGTCAAGTCTTGCGAAAAATGACGCACTAAAAAAAAAAAAAGAAAGAATAATTTCAGAACAAGCGGAATCATCTAAATTTTCATCTTTTAGAGAATTTTATTCTTATATGACTTCAAGAGGATTCCTCTAAAATTAAAAGGAAAACATTATGAACATACTATTCTTAAAGTTAGAGGAATTATATGTTATATATATATATAGTGCAAATCTTATTGATTTTAATATAAATTTCCTCTTACACACAGATTATTTCATCTTTTTTTAAGAGGATTGTTATTTATTCTTATTGTACTTTAACTTTATACAGATATATTTATGCATAATATACAATATACACAAGTACTCTAAGTGGCATTTAATGTAGTCTGCAACGCGATATGATAAATGGACATATGTATGTATTTACGCTGAAATATGGGTCAATATATCCTTAAGTTTCTCTAAAAATTCTTTAACTTCGTTCTAAATGACGTTTGATGTAGTCTGCAACGCGATATGATTAATGGATAAAATTCTAAAAATTTTTTAACTTCGCTCATGACGAAACAACCTCCCCCCTCCCCGGGAGAACCAACATAAACTGAGCAACGATGTCTTTTCTTTTATCCTTTGCTCTAGACATTGTTCATAAAATAAATGTGGCGACGATCGTTATTTATTTGCACAGAGAGTGTCTCTGTGTGAGTAAATGGGAGAGGAAAAGCACCGACAAGCGTTCCTCTTGATATAGGAGGAAAAGTAATTGATATAAAAGGAAATCCTCTTGAAGTAAGAGGAAAACAGTTAGAATAATATTTAATAAATTTTAGATGAATGGTTCACTTTAATCACTTTATGGAAAGAAGAATCCTTTCCCTGTAAAAGGCTTCGCTTAGAATATGAGATTATGGGAAAAATCACTTTACAAATAGAATACATTTTTTTTGGATGCGATAGACTTTAGAACACTATGTATGAATGACGCAACGTTTGATCCTATTTGCCTAACAAACGGGATAATTAAGGTATACTGAGAGAAAAATAGTCAATATTGTTTAGTTATTTTAAAATTAGTTATTGTCGGGTCGAAAAATGCCTCTGTTGTTCCAAACAGAAAGTAATAATGACAATATACCCGATAAAAATGTCACCCCCCCTCTCTCTCTCTCTCTCGACTATAATTCTTGCGATTACAACTACCAGAAGCAAACACTTTTTTCTCAGTGTGCGCGTGTTCGCCGGAGCGGCAGATGGGCTCCGAAAGTTGCGGTTTCACCGCAAAAGGGAGCTCGGGATGTTCAATGAGTACTTACGTGGGCCGCAGATACAACGCAGCGTTCCCGCTAAAAGTACTGCCGACCAACGTCGATGGTGGTGCGTCGATAACACAATCACTGGTAGAGCACTGCCGCCAGCGTGTCCCACATTACTTGCCATGCCGATAGTCCGAAATCACTGCACAAACCAAACGAGAAGGTTGTGTGTGTGTGTGTGTGTGTGTGTGTGTGTGTGTGTGTGTGTGTGTGTGTGTGTGTGTGTGTGTGTGTGAGAGAGAGAGAGAGAGAGAGAGCGCGAGAGCGAGTTGAGCGGAATGGGCCGGGCCGACGCGACCCGAGGAACAAACGGCCGGGCCGGGCGATGTTCAATCGCACAATATTCCGAGCAATTATGACCTTACGTAATGCGGGCGGAATGAATATTGCTATTGAACGCCGCCGTGACGCCGGTTGTGACGCGTCTCGAATTCCTCATACGTGCGCGGGCGGCGAGAGACGCGCGGCGGCGCTTCTGAGAATGGAAATAAACGAAATTTGTTTACCGCTCGCGGTAGACTCCAGCAGGGGCTTAATAACAGGCCGCTTGCGAAACACGAAACCGCCGCCGCGCGCTTTTCGTTTTCCGACGCCCGTTCGATTGCTGCGACGTAGTATAATACGGCGGAGACGTTCCTGCGCGCCTCTCTCCTCGCTGCGCCTCGCCGCCTTCCCGCCCCGCCGCGCCGCGCCGCGCGCCGTTTCTCAATTCCCTCTCTCGCTGAGGCAGTTATCAATGAGCGATATGTTGGCGCTGAACGTGTTACGGTGTATGCGTAACACGTGAGGGAATCTTTTGACAGCGAGCTACCAAACAAGTTTGTTTTGCGATTGGTATCTTTGATGTTTGCCTCGACAGATGTGATCGAGCACAGTTTTTCAAATGCCATTTTCTCGAGATATGTCGCCGCTCGCTCGTTTCGGGGGGGGGCCACAGCTCGATAACTCGATCTGGCGAGCTAATTGGCGCTAGATAAGTTGATTATGGCTAAATGATACTTCCACTCGGTCGATATCGCACTATCGATATGCGTAACTCGCGCCAAATACGATCGAGTAGAATTTATTTATTCGATAAAATCACGCCTCTCTTTCTCTCGCGCGTTAGACGGAAACTGGGTCGACTATCGCATGTTTAAAGAACCTAGATCTTATCTCGCAGCGTCGTTTGAGTTTTTCAGCCTGAAATTGACCCGGAGGATTCTCCCCCTCTCCTTTGCCCTCTTCGTGCGTCTGACAACGCAGTTTTGTAAACTTCGAAACGAGATTTAGAGTCGCGCGCGCCGGACGAAACGCGATCCCGCGGCCAAGTTCGTAATTGAATCGTGATGTTTCGCGGAAAGTTGAGAATTTCGCGAGAGAGAGAGAGAGAGAGAGAGAGAGAGAGAACGATCATGCGCACAGTCACATACCGCCCTCACCGCGAGAGAACGTGATCGTATCTGATTTTTATAACTCTGCCGGAACGACGAGACGCGTGTAATTTCCTCACCCTTTTCGCAGCTCTCTCGCCTGCCCCGCGAAAATGGAATATCGCGTCGAGATAAACTTTCGGCCGTTATCGCGTCGAATAAATTCCCTACAAACGTACGATGCAAATGCAATATTCGCGCGCGCGCACGCGGGGAATTTGCGCCCCGTTATAATATTACGAAGCGAAATACCATTGGAACGAAAGTGAATTTTGCAGCGCGGCAAAACGCAATTTTCGCGTGTTCGGTAAGCCCGTTGTCGCGATTGCGGGACGAATCTGGCGTAAATCGAATCGGACTCGGCGCGCTTCGCAAACTACGCTTCGCCCGGCCAACGCGCGAGAACCGTCGAGACACGTTCCGTAATTACAATCGCGATCACGCCAACCAAGTCGGACGACGGCTCGACCGTTCTCGCCGATAGGAACAGGGTGTGTGTAAGGTCGTTCGGTATCGCGCGAAACTAGCTCGCGCGGGAAGGGAGACAAATCGTGCGCTTCGACGAAGGTTAAATTATAGAAGCACGACGACGATGACGACGGGAGCAGATCCCCGCCGTCTGTGTAAACGTGAACCAAGCCAGCCAGCCAGCCAGCCGGCCGGCCGACCGACCGACCGACCGACCACGCGCCGTTCGTTCGTTTACTTCGTCCCACCTCCGAACAGGTTGTCGTGCACACACTTTCGCAATGGAATCCCAGTTATTTCAAAGGCACGCATATGTGTGCGCGCGAGCCGTTCCCGTTGCCCGAGATCGACGTGCGTGGCCGAGTGTTGCGTCGCGTAGCGTAGCGTCGCGTCGCGTCGCGCTACGCACTACTGGAGTAAAGTCGACGGCGACCGACGCGTATAATCTCTTTTCTCGAAGGCGTGCACACGCACGCACAACACGAGGTGCGTGTGCGCGAGCGCGCGCCTTCACCTTCTCCAGGTATCCGCATCCTTGGTTTCGATGCACACGTCGAGAGACGCATCGCAATGCGCGTATTTCTCTCCCCCCTCTCTCTCTCTCTCTTTTCTTTTTCGATTTTCCCTTTTTCCCTCTTCTATTTCTTATTTCAAACGCACGCGGTACGATCAACAGCGCGTTGCGATCAAATTAAAAAGTTTTAATATCCGACGCGCGTCGTCAGATTAAAATAAACAGCGGACGATAAGAGAGAAACTCGTTAAATTATTCGGGTCAGTCTTGACTTTAAAGGGCGAGGAATATTCGCAATTCCGATCGGTCTGGTGCGTACACACTTTCCTGTTTAATAACTGTAAAACGTTTAATATTCGTAATCTCGCGACAAAATAACTCCCGCTTTTACGCATTTACGAGGTTTGCGCGATAAAATGAGAGTTTTATCAAGCAAATATCATCCTCGAATCGATGGGTTATATAGCGTGAAAATATAAACTCCCTTTTTCTCTCTCTCTCTCTCTCTCTCTCTCTCTCTCTCTCTCTCTCTCTCTCTCTCTCTCTCTCTCTCTGTTTCATCTCCGACGATCTCGGTCGTATCGTCGTTACGATCGTCGTCGCAACGCCTTGGCCGTATATTAAGCAGCAGCTGACAGTGCTTCCGATTTCGCAAGCGGAGATTCTCGTATCGCGTTCAGTGTGTGTGGACAAAAGTAAAAGCTAAACAACCGTCTCCTGCAGCACTAAAACGCGCTTCGCCGATGCGGTGCACGTACGCGGGTATCCGTATCGTTAGAATTCCACTTCGCCACGAGGGACACTTCCGGCGTCGCGACGTCCCTCCTCTCACGCGTGCAGGCAGACTCCAACTTTGGAAATTCCTACCGAGTCGTCTAAAGTACCACCCTGCGGAGCAGTATTTGCACTGTGTTGCTGCCGGGTCCTGCGTCGAAGCGAAATGGGGAGATGGGACAGAGATAGGAAGAGAGAGAGAGAGAGAGAGAGAGAGAGAGAGAGAGAGAGAGAGAGAGAGAGAGAGAGAGAGCCAAGCTCCGACAATATTTCGTGCCAACATAAGCATCTTCAGAGATTCGTTGTCGCGTCGTGCAATATTGTTACGGAGTCGTCCTCGCGTCGGTCGTGGTCCTCTCTCGCGGCGGAAGCTATTTCCATGTCGGTACCGCGCGCGGCTGAGTGCAGCCACCTTCAAATATTCTCCTCTTGAGATATTGTTGTCAGTCAAGTGTAATCGGGGCGTGGCGCGCCGGATGGAGGAGAGGCCTCACGAAATTTAAAGCCACATACGCGAGATCTAGACGAGATCGGTCTTCCCTGTGTATGTGCCTCTGCGAGCGTATACGATAAAATATTAATCGCAGTCTACTTCTGCAGCGACGCAGAGCAGCCGAGCACCTCGCACGATGTTCGGCGCACTCGCGCATTCGGAGCATTCGCGCGCGAGTGTATTTGAATACAAAGCGCCGTTACGGATAATACGTTCCGCCGCGGCCATATTACACGACAAAAGGCATTTCGTAGGCTCAATTTAGTGGTTCTATTAATGGAGTGGCGTTAAAGACACACCGTGACCACTGACGAATGTCGTGCGTCACGTGGCCTCATTCATAACGGAACCGGCGCGGCGCGGCGCGGCGCGGCCTGGCGGAGTTTACGTCGTGAGGATTTTCGGAACGCGATGTATTTTATTCTCGAGCTAGTCGTATAACACTCGGGAAAAAAGAGACGAAACTTTTCAATGGATCTGCCACGAGATATTTTTCGTTCTCGGTGCGCGTGCCGCGCGCTATAAGCGTAAATATACAAGGCGGAAAAACAAGAGGGCCGTCGTCGTCGTCGTCGTCGACGTTCAATCTTTATCAATCTCTCGGTTGGACGCAACAGACACCGTAAAACGATTGTTCGGTGTTCCCGCCGATGGGTTTCAGCGCTGCTTCTCTCGTCGGGATAATCGCCGATGTTAATATGCAAAAACGACGACGACGACGCGAAAGTTGGGATGATAAGTCCCGTCGAGGACTTCATTAGAACTTTTCCTATCGACCGGCCGCGGTAATATTAGTAAAAGAGAGCAACGTCCGCGTTAAAATTGGCGAGCGGAGAGAGATAGGGAGAGAAAGAGAAAGACAGAGGGAGGGGGAGAGAGGGACAGAGAGAGAGAGAGAGAGAGAGAGAGAGAGAGAGAGAGAGAGAGAGAAATGTCATTTGGCTAGAAATATCTCAACGTCAACTTTGCATCCGTAAAAATGATATTTCCCGGGGCAAACTGTTATTTATACATTCGTGTTATTTATCCGACTGTGTAATTGTGTTTCGGACGAAAAGAAAAAGAAGAAAAGAAAAAAAAAAAAGAGTATAACAGCCCATTCCACCAACTTTATAAAAGTTGCTATTTTAAAGACGTGTATTGGCTAGAACGTCGGTGGTACGAGAAAAATACGATAAACTCGGGTTATCGCTCCACTAATAAGACTAATGTGCACGCACGACGGTAAAATATATAAGCTATTATCGCAAAAAACGAGACAAATTATCCAATTAAATAGCAAACTCGCGATCCACATTTCAATATGCTAATGTACGAAAAATCATTAATCACTTGCGCACATCGAGCGCGAGGAAACAGACAAAACATGCGAGTCGAGTTCGATACCTTGCCGATTAATAATTCGCAAATTGATTGATGCTCGATGCGGAAAGAAACTCGTGCGTCACGGAGTGGAGTTTAACAAACGAATCGCGCTCGCG